CTCCCTGGTACCTGCACACCCCCCCTCTCAGCCCAGCTCTCCTTCTCCTCCTCTGCAGCTGCACCCAGGACGGCACCACCAACCCCCCGAGCAGGTAACCTGTCCTCCCCACCAGCACTGGGACTTCTCCGGGCCAGCTGTGACCCAGAGCTGGAGGGAAGGGGCTCCTTGCCAGGGCGTGAAACTCCCAGGAGGAGGCACCGGGAGAGCAGTGGGGGGAGCACTGGGGAGGGCTGTCGTTTCTCCAGCAGGGTGGGAGCTTCCTCATCACTCAGCCCCTGGGGTCCCCTGCCCCCAGGGTAATGGGTGTCAGGACGGGGGTGTCCCAGCCCCACAGCTCTGCCAGGCCTGGTGGTGCCCTTTTTTGTGCTCCCTGCAGATCCCACGCGGGGCCGTCTGACTGGAAGCAGGAGACTCTCATTGCCCGTCATCATGTGCATCATCCTGGGGGCCCTTCTCTGCCTTCTCCTGGCCCTCCTGGCTGGGCAAGTGCGAAGCGCCAGGGCTGGGCGCAGAGGTGGGTCCTGGGGAAAGATGCCTCTTGTCAAGTCCAGGGCTGCTGTGAGGTGTCAAGGAGTGGCCGAGGCAGAGCTGGGGGGACAAGAGTGTGTGCTGCCTGCTCTCCCCTGTCCCACCTCATTGACTGCCTGAAGCACAGGCCACCAGCAGCACGGGGTAGAGAGAGAATCCAGACACAGCTGGAGTTAGGGACAGGGCAAGGAAAGAAATGGCAGAGCTGGGCTGGGGGAGATGGCAGCAGAGGGGAGGCAGACGAGGACATCTCACTCTCAGTGCTCTGGGTGGCTCTGGAGGGGCTCTGGGTCAGGGGAGATTCCAGGAGGAGGAGCGTGGGGCAGCAGGGTCCATGCCCATGGTTTCAGGCCCCAAGGCTGTTCCTCTGTCCAAGCCTGAGCTGCCCCCGGCAGGGCAGGGGCCTTGCTCTGGAAGCCTGGGGCAGAGATGGGGCAGCTGCAGGGGGAGGGGAAAGGTGGGATCTGCTCCCAGCTCAGCACGAGGAACCTGACCCAGGGGCCAGAGGAGCACGGGGGCTGTTTCTGAGGGGACAGTGCCAGGGTGTCGCTGCCCCAGGCCATCTCCATGGGAAAACAGCCCTCACTGAGGCAGCAGGAGCAGTGACCAGACAGCGCAGTGGGGCTGTGCTGTGGCCATCGCCTTTTGCTGGACCGGGAGAGCAAAGCTGGGGCAGCAGAGCGCGCTCCTGTCCCCTCTCTGCCTGTCCCGGGGCCAGCCCTGCTG